TGGGTGGGTGGGTGGTTGGGTGGTTGGGTGGTGGGGTGGTTGGGTGTTTGGTTGCTTGGTTGGTTGGCTGGCTGGCTGGCTGGCTGGTTGTTTGCCGTCTCGCTCTTGTCTCTATCGTGGGGACTGCCTGGTTTGTATCAGCACTCTGCACCACCAAACTACTACTCGCCTCGCAATGGACTCTACAGAGACAAGCCAATTCGGCCTGCTGCAACACTTCGTCGCGGATCCTGCTCGCAATCTCCTCACAAAGCACACAGTGATATGTAATTTCGAAAGTGCACGATCGGCTGTGCATGCCGCTGGTTGTGCCTCTGACTTGCTGACAAGGTGGAGATGCTCTCCGCGGTTGGCATTGCCAGCTTTCACGACCAAAGTCCTGGGCAAGAAACGCTAACAATACTTCATAATTATTGGTACAGCCTGGCCGATTGCGACATGCCATGCTTGCAGAGGCAACATGAAGCCAAAAATGCAAAGGAAATCTACTATAGGACTCGGGCTGGAAAGAGAGTTGCCTTCTCAGTAGCAAAGACTCCCGTCGCACTTGGTCGTCTGGGCAGCTGCCCATTTCCTAAATCGCTCCGGCAGCAACTGCAGGTCCTTCAACATCTGAAGCGCAGATCAAGGGAGGCTGCATCTTTGCCAAAGAATCAGGTCGGACCGGCAGACGGCAAACCAAGTGCCACAGCACCTACCCGAAACTCCTCCTCGTCCTCCACGTCCACCACGAAGGATGCGGGCAACACACCTTCACAGCCTGGCGCTAACTACTTTATTCAGGAGCCAGGAGGGCCTGGGGGTGATTGCCACAAGCGGCACTCGGGTCAGTGATCGGGCAAACTGCAACACTTTGTCCAGGGAATTTCTGAGCTGAGAAGCGTCGTTTGGCAAGGTAGTGCGCAAGCATGCCCTTGCGAACCAAAGAAGTGCGCACATACAGACCTTGGACATCTGCGGCTGCGCATGCTGTCAGAAGGTGTGTAGTGGACCCGGTTGCAGCGTCCTCCAAAACTGCTTGGCTTATTCTGATAGCGCTTGCATCAGGCTGCCCGTCCCAACGCTTCCTGAAGTCCCGAGCAGAATACACAATCATCACATACAGAAGCTGGCTACTTTCTCCAAGGGAGTACTTTCCTGGCTGATCTTTGACTAAGTTTAAGCTCCTGCTGCCCAGACGCTCGATGCCCGTTGCCTTTTGGGGCTGGGTAGGTTTCGGCTGCGATTTGTAGCAATGGAGAAACATCATGCATTCACGATTGTGGGGTTTACTGGGATGCCTTGGCAACTTGAAAGTGAAAAATCTGCAGTGCAAGATAGCGTGGTTCTGCTCGGTTTCCGAAGGATTCTTTTCGAAGGGGATGTCGAAGAAGGTAAAAGTGTTCCACTCATGATGCTTGCCCCACATCCGTGAAAGCCACAAGCCAAGTTGCAATGATGGCCCTTGGCTCAAAAATGCATCCCAATCCATCTCGGCGAAATCGGCCCACCTCCGATCTCACGTGCCGTCCGACAATAGTAACAAATTCCTCCGACAAAAACTTAGAACTGGCCAAAGTTGAGTCGAGCTTCTGGCATGCTGCTCCATCCACGACAGCTATCCGCCTCAGATGCAGGAACAAGTACCGCAGACTGCCCCTGTGCCGGATAAGCCAGTAACTGAGATGCGAAAGGCGATCGTGACTATGTGTGCTGTGGAGCCTACTCCACTCTCAGGCTTGGGTAGCGGGTCGTGACGGGTAGTGTCCTTCAAATACAACGGCTGTCCGACTTGGCCAGCCCCCTCAAGCGAGGGTTTTGGGTTCTACATGTCCAAACCGAAACCGACTTTGACCACTCTTTGAAAACCCACAAGCTCCACCCTTGCACCCTTCGTCCATTGCAGAAAAGGAAGAGCAGCCCCCCGGACCAAGCCACAGATGTCGTGCAGCAGCGAGGACTGCTTGCCGCGCATAGGGCGAGGACAGCACGACGGAGACTTGCGCGGTCAAAGCTCGAGTCAGCCTGCGGGCATGATGGCATGGAGCATGCAAGGTCTTGACTTGCAGCTTGCGGAGCTGCAGCTGTTTTTCAACAGCAGAAGGTAAACCACAACACAGGCAGACGGACAACAAACAAGCAGGACAGATAAGGCAAAGGCAACAGCCCCGCAACACTGGTGCTTGATACCTCCGTTTGCATTCCCACGCCAGCACAAGAAGTGCTGTAACCTCAGATTTGCGACTTCCTTCGAGCCTGGAAAATTCGACCAAGCTTGAACCCCGGCTCAAGGCTGTTGTCAATGCCCCAGCCAAGCCACGGCGAGCAAGATCCACCGAAGGCCAGACCTGTCAAGCTCCGTTCTCCCATTGGCAGAAAAGTCTGCTCTACTTCGGTTGAATGCGAGTTTCACTTGCCGCCTTCGAATCATGCGCCGTAGGAGTCTGTTCTAGAGTTCGCACGATTTCGTCGCAAGCCATCTCCCAAAACCACGAAACCTTGGGCCTGGACAGTCTGGAAGGTATCCAAGCCAGAGCTGCCATGGGAACTCTGCTGAGCGCGCTTGGTGACGGTTCAACTGTTTTTTAAGCAACTTGTACTAATGATGTCCGCGGTCTGTTCAGCACCTTGAAGCCTATGATCGTAGGACCGCTAGTGCCGCTAGTGCTCGTGGATCTGGCCCTGAGGAGCGCTGGGCTCCCCTCATCGCTTCGTTTCGGGCGGAAGGTCTACGAGCTACACGACTTCTTCGGTTTTGGCTTGTTGAAAGAGGCACTCAAAACTCAAAACAACATGCCGAGCCAGTTTTTCTACGGCTCCCGCTGATTCATTGATCCTTCCACAAGCTGTGCACAGGAAAACAGGCGGTGAGTACACAGCACCACCACGGAGAGAAACCGTGCAGGCCGCAGCAAGATGCAGCAAGCATGCAATGGAAACAGGGGCCCGGGCGTAAGAAAAGACTCTGCGGTGAACCAGGGCCGCCCCAGACAGAACCTTGGCGGTTCCGCACAGTCAGCAGTTGAGGATACTCTTCCTGCTGCTTGATTTGTCAATTTGTGACCGGGACCTGGCACAGCCTTTGCCTATCTACTTGTCTTCGTCTTGCTTGCATGCCGGGAACGAAACGTCATGGCCTGTCTACGACTGGTCGGTGTATGTACGGTATGTTCACATGCAAAGGGGGAATCCAGACGTCCTCGTTGACTTTGATCCATCGCGGCGATGCAATGCAACGCTCTAAGCTCGGTTCTGTTCTGCTTTCGTTGCAGTCGGCTTGACATCATGGAGATATAACTAAGCCTTGGAAGAGACGCATTCCAAACGGTCTCATGACAGGTGGGATCTTCCCAGCACAAGGCCCTCGGCCATCGGCCCGGGACTTGAGAAGTCCCACACCAAGGAGATCCGAGCCATTAACACATGCTGAAACCTTCGATGCGCTCTTTGTGAGACATTCCAGCCAGTCTGGCCGACTGGGTTCAGCACGGTGCTGTTTGCCAGAATCGGCAGCTGATTACTGGCTACAGATGCAACGTACAGGTTGACACAACACAAGCAATAGGAGGCTGTGAAACAGGACTTGGAAGTCAACACCATAATTTTTTAGTTGCCACTACGACCGACTGTTCAGCCGCAATCAGCCGCCTCCTAAGTATTGATTCAGCGCAGCATAGGCCTCTGCCACTTCGCGAAACCTGCGGGGAGGGGGGTTGGGGGGCGCGGCAGGGGCGGGGGTTGGTTGGTCAATCTCCGGGTATCGACTGCGTGTGCTATGACAAAGCTTGAGGGGTTTAGCTCCGACTCATGGTGCCAATGCTGCTGAGAAGTGGCGTGGGCTTGAGAAAGAGATGGAGACAGGCGGCACACTGCCTAAAGTGCGGTAGTGGCACGTCGACATGCTGCAACGCAAAGCCGTTAGGAATTCCGAGTTAGGCGGCTACGATGAGTAATTACATATCTACCTCGAAGCTTCCAAGCGTCCAACCCCAAAGAAATGAGGAAGCCCAGTCCGAAACAACTTCAATCAATCGTTTGCCGAGAAATTATGCGAAGCTGTTCCCAGGATCCCCCACAGGCCTCTGCGATGCCTCTTCCTTGGAAGCTTCGAGGTTCTTGTCCTGGAATGTGCAGCATGAAAATGCTAACGAAACAGTGCAAGCCATTGTTGCACTCAATCTGATTCCAATTGCTTCCATGGAAAATGTCTCTGGTTGGCTGCAGTTGCTCACTACTGGTGCTTTGCAGGGTGTGCGGGTCGCGCACTCCTCCCGCTTCAAGTCTGTACCTTTTGGTCCGCAAAAGGAAGTCCCATCTGTAGACTGTCATTAAACTCTCAGCCACTTACTGCATGGCATGCCTCTCCGCCCAAGTCACTAAGTGGGTTTTTGAAGTCGCATGCCAAGGGAAGCAAAAATATAAGGCTGTTAGGGGTGATGCAGAGGCAATGCTAGCTCTATGTAAGCGTCCGGTTTCAACATATACGATGGCCGGAAGTTCGGCGGTCGAATGGAGTTGCAAACTTCAGCTTGCATTGGGGCACGTGCACATTCACAACTTCATAGTATGCATCTGTCTGCGAGTGTCTCCACTAAAGCCTGCGGCTCGTTGTCGAAATAGCAAACCCTAGCACAGCTCCACAGGCATGGTTTAACCAGTCAGAAATGGAGACAGAGATCCACAAGAGCTGCCTTCGAGCGCATCTCATACTGCCCCATGGCCCCTGTGTCATGCTACAGTCTTGAAAATGTCGGTGTCGGTGGATCTCTATCCGGAGCTGTGCACAATGTCAAGATCTGACAAGCTCGCCTAGTCAAACTGACGAGCGTACGGGAACATGGCATCTCCAAATTCCCGGGTGCAAGAGAGCGGCCATCTGGAAAAGTGGGCCTGTGCAGCTTATCTTGTCGATGCGTCTATGAAACCCGGGTTCCAAGAGATTGTTAGCCTGGAGTGCATCGGATCTTCAAAACTCGTCTCGAAGTGCAAAGGACTCCATGTTCGGAGCTCCCTGCGACCCGCAACAAGGCTTAAAAAAGCTCTCCCCACTTGCCGCTTGCCAAAGGCCAAGCCAACGGGCAAGTTTCGCGTTATTTCACGGGGTGCGCCCATGCTCCAGCCGGGATACGAGCTCTTTGGCCTTCATCTTGGCACCTGCGGCCTCGAAACCACCAGGCATCCAACTTCAAGCACTTAAAACCACCACCAACAACAACAATAATCCAGACTACCACGACCACTTGACCACCAGCAACCACACTGCTGCTGCTGACATCACCACGCCCGACACCACTACCACCGAGGACAGCAAATGACCGCAGAACAAGTCGTGGTCGTCGTCGCCGCGGAAGTATACGGAACACAGTCGTCGTCGTTGTGGCAGTGGTGGTGGGAAGTAACTGCTGTCAGGGTGGTGGTAGTAGTAGTAGTAGT